CCCATGGGGGCCACCACCAGTCCAAGTACCATGGCACTGTTGGCCATGATCCCCTCCAAATGGAGCAAAGGGATCTCCAGATGAAATTACGGAGACAGCAAAAGGAAAAGCTTCTTCACTTCTAAGTAACGAGAGAGTCTTCTATACCTTCTTGTTTCCCAGTTTGGGACTGACACTGGAAGCTGTGCTTTATAGTTTTGGGACCCATATCACCCCCCCCCCCCAAATCGTACACACACTCAGCACTATTGCAATGACTTACAATGACTTCCTCAGTGTAAGAATTATGGCACAAATAAGGTAAACCTCCAGTTTAGTTAGACATTAACGTTGTTGATTTTTCTATTTCTGGATCTCCTCTATGACGAGACATAATGAAAGCCTTTAATCATTAATAAGCAGCACTATAAATAGCAACTCACAGTCAAATACAGCCCACGGTGACAACTAACCTTCCTTACATTAAAAGCTGTGAATGTTCATCAGTTATGCAGTACCACCTCCTTATCCACGGATTTGGTATTCATCATTTTACTTACCCATGCTCCAAAAGAATCCCCACGTGAGACTTTATGGACTTATGTGTGATTCTATAGACTCTAGATCAGGCATGGGCAAACTTGGGCCCTCCAGGTGTTTTGGACTTAGAATCATAGAATCCTAGAATCCTAGAATCAAAGAGTTGGAAGAGACCTCATGGGCCATCCAGTCCAACCCCCCGCCAAGAAGCAGGAATATTGCATTCAAATCACCCCTGACAGATGGCCATCCAGCCTCTGCTTAAAAGCTTCCAAAGAAGGAGCCTCCACCACACTCCGGGGCAGAGAGTTCCACTGCTGAACGGCTCTCACAGTCAGGAAGTTCTTCCTCATTTTCAGATGGAATCTCCTTTCTTGTAGTTTGAAGCCATTGTTTCGTCCTAGTCTCCAGGGAAGCAGAAAACAAGCTTGCTCCCTCCTCCCTGTGGCTTCCTCTCACATATTTATACATGGCTATCATATCTCCTCTCAGCCTTCTCTTCTTCAGGCTAAACATGCCCAGCTCCTTAAGCCGCTCCTCATAGGGCTTGTTCTCCAGACCCGTGATCATTTTAGTCGCCCTCCTCTGGACACATTCCAGCTTGTCAATATCTCTCTTGAATTGTGGTGCCCAGAATTGGACACAATATTCCAGGTGTGGTCTAACCAAAGCGGAATAGAGGGGTAGCATTTCCCTAGATCTAGACACTATGCTCCTATTGATGCAGGCCAAAATCCCGTTGGCTTTTTTGCCGCCACATCACATTGTTTTCACACGTACTGCTCTCGAGCCAGGCATTGTCCCCATTCTGTATCTTTGCATTTCGTTTTTTCTGCCTAAGTGGAGTATCTTGCATTTGTCCCTGTTGAACTTCATTTTGTTAGTTTTGGCCCATCTCTCTAATCTGTCAAGATGGTTTTGAATCCTGCTCCTGTCCTCTGGAGTATTGGCTATCCCTCCCAATTTGGTGTCGTCTGCAAACTTGATGATCATGCCTTCTAGCCCTTAATCTAAGTCATTAATAAAGATGTTGAACAGGACCGGGCCCAGGACGGAACCCTGCGGCACTCCGCTTGTCACTTCTTTCCAGGATGAAGAGGAAGCATTGGTGAGCACCCTCTGGGTTCGTCCATTTAACCAATTACAGATCCACCTCACCGTAGTTTTGCCTAGCCCACATTGGACTAGTTTTCTTGCCAGAAGGTCATGGGGGACCTTGTCGAAGGCCTTACTGAAATCCAGGTACGCTACATCCACGGCATTCCCCGCATCTACCCAGCTTATAACTCTATCGAAAAAAGAGATCAGATTAGATCAGATCAGATCTACCGGCTGTTAGGAATTATGGGAGTTGAAGTCCAAAACACCTGGAGGGCCCAAGTTTGCCCATACGTGATCTGGATCCTCCTGTGTCTTTCTATGGTATGTTTTTGGCTGAAGCATAGTCTAAATATGTGGTTTGCAAATATCTGTGGTATCAAATATCTGGGGTTTTGGAGCACTCCCCCTGCAAATATTAAAATTGCACTGCATTAAATATTCACTTGATTAGTAGCGTAAAGGACATTTCATGTCTGACAATATGGTACACAGGCCACAGAAAGCACATTAAATTCTTACACAACAAAATACTTTCAAGTTCGATGTTCTGCAACATTTTAAAAACTTCTTTCCCCATGGAAATTTGTCTGGATCTCCCCAAGCCATAGTCCTAAATTCTAATTGCTAAACCACACAGGATTTCTCGAATTATTATTTAAAAAAACTTTATCTTAACCAATTGTTAAACATTCTTTATCTTAACCAATTGTTAAAAATTGGAGTATCACAGGCCTCATGTCTATGTGCACATCCTGGCCTAAAGACATGACCTCTGATAATAATAATAATAATAATTTGGAAACAATAAACATCGACAAAATCACGATCTGTCAGCTGCAAAAGGCCACCTTACTTGGACCTGTGCGCATCATTCAAAAATACATCACACAGTCCTAGACGCTTGGGAAGTGTTCGACTTGTGATTTTGTGATACGAAATCCAGCATATAGATCTCGTTTGCTGTGGCATACTGTGCTTTTGTGTCAATAATAATAATTATTATTATTATTATTATTGCTCAGATGATTCATTGGAACTTGTGCCACAAATACCATCTGCCTGCGACAAAGAACTGGTAGAATCACAAGCCTGAAAAAGTTATAGAAAATGAACACGTCAAACTACTCTGAGACTTCCGAATTCAGACAGAGTTTTGGAGTACAATACTCCTGACCTCACGATTGTGTTAAAAAACATAGTATGGATTGTCGATGTTGCAATCCCAGGTGACAGCAGGATCGAAGAGAAACAACTGAAAAAGCTGACACGATATGAGGATTTAAAGATCAAACTGCAAAGCCTCTGGTACAAGCCAGTCAAGGTGGCCCCAGTGGTGATCGGCACACTGGGTGCAGTGCCTAAAGACCTTGGCCTGTACTTAAACACAATCAGCACTGACAAAATTATATATTACATGTAATATATAATATACAATTATTTTATTATATATTATATTGTATTATATTATTATACCACAAGATATAGAATACACTACCAGTATATTATACTATTATATATATTATACTAGAGACCAAGATGAAGTATTTTGGCCACATAATGAGAAGACAGGAAAGCTTAGAGAAGACAATTATGCTGGGGAAAATGGAAGGAAAAAGGAAGAGGGGCCGACCAAGGGCAAGATGGATGGATGGCATCCTTGAAGTGACTGGCTTAATCTTGAACAAGCTGGGGTGGTGACGGCTGACAGGGAGCTCTGGCGTGAGCTGGTCCATGAGGTCACGAAGAGTTGGAAGTGACTGAACGAATGAGCAACATATTATACTATTATTATACAATAATAATAAATAATACTTTATTTTTATACCCCACCACCATCTCCCCTAGGGGACTTGGGGCAGCTTACAAGGAGCAAGCCCAACAATTACAGATTAAAAACAAAGACACAGTTAAAATTAAAATCACTCAATAAAATTTATTTATTTTTATTTGTCGTGTCAGGACAACCAGTCAAATTATATTACATTTCTAACAGAACAAAGCAAACAAACAGACAGAATACACAATTTGTGAGTTTGGTAGTTGATTAAATGTCCTTTGACCAGTATCTGGCCACCTGGAGTGCCTCTGGTGTTGCCGCAAGAAGGTCCTCCATTGTGCATGTAGCAGGGCTCAGGTTGCATTGCAGCAGGTGGCCAGTGGTTTGCTCCTCTCCACACTCGCATGTCGTGGATACCACTTTGTAGCCCCATTGCTGAAGGTTGGCTCTGCATCTCGTGGTGCCAGAGTGCAGTCTGTTCAGTGCCTTCCAGGTCGCCCAGTCCTCTGTGTGCCCAGGGGGGAGTCTCTCATTGGGTATCAGCCATTGGTTGAGGTTCTGGGTTTGGTCCTGCCACTTTTGGACTCTCGCTTGCTGAGGTGTTCCAGCGAGTGTCTCTGTAGATCTTAGAAAACTATTTCTAGATTTAAGTCTTTGACGTGCTGGCTGATACCCAAACAGGGGATGAGCTGGAGATGTCTCTGCCTTGGTCCTTTCACTATTGGCTGCTACTTCCCGGCGATGTCAGGTGGTGCAATACCGGCTAAGCAGTGTAATTTCTCCAGTGGTGTAGGGCGCAGACACCCCGTGATAATGCGGCATGTCTCATTAAGAGCCACATCCACTGTTTTAGTGTGGTGAGATGTGTTCCACACTGGGCATGCGTACTCAGCAGCAGTGTAGCACAGCGCAAGGGCAGATGTCTTTACTGTGTCTGGTTGTGATCCCCAGGTTGTGCCAGTCAGCTTTCGTATGATATTGTTTCTAGCACCCACTTTTTGCTTGATGTTCAGGCAGTGCTTCTTGTAGGTCAGAGCATGGTCCAGAGTGACTCCCAGGTATTTGGGTGCGTTGCAATGCTCCAGTGGGATTCCTTCCCAGGTGATCCTCAGAGCTTGGGATGCTTCTCTGTTCTTGAGAAGAACTCAATAAAATAATAAAACATAACACATAATAAAATAATAAAACACATACTAAAATAACAAAATAATAAAACATATCATAAATAAAACATAATATATTGTGCTATATTAGTTGTGATATATATGATATATATTATATTACAACATAATTAATATTATACATAATGCATTAGTATGACTACTTTAATAGTATTCCTTTTCCTTTTTTTACAATGCTTGATTAGTTTGGAGGAGGAACTTGTTCTGCGAGGGACGCGTTCATTGGCCGCTCGCCGGCCAATTGCATTCGGAAGCTGGAAGAGCACCGCCCACTCTCGAGGAAAGCGGGCATGTCGCTGCGCCGCGGGAAAGAGCCGCCTATTTTCAACGGCCGCGGAGCGCGAGGAGGGGGGCGGGGCGAAGAGGAAAGGGGCGGGGCAACCATGCAGAAAAGCCCAACCACCGTGATTTCTCTCAGTCGCCTGTTTTGCATAACGGACGCTGCGCATGCGCAGAGAGCTGAGGCTTTCCCCAGCGGTATTCTGAGGGGATTTAATCGTCTTGGTTTGTGTTTCCCCCTTTCTTTGAAGCTGAGGGACCTATTTGCACTTTAGAGGTAATATAATGATATAACAATGTCTGTACTTGTCTCCTCTAACTCTGTGTGCTTCTCTCTCCTCCTGGCACTAATATCAATTTGCTGCTTTGAGGGGGTTAGGCCTCAAGCTCTCAAACGTGGACGTCAACTCCCAGAAACTTCTGCTAGCATACTAGACAGCCAGGAATGCTCGGAAATGAAGCCCAACATCACCTAGAGGAGCAAAGGTTGAGGTTCCCAAAGGTGGCTATCTGGGGAGTTTGGAAATTCATCTCCCAGAAGCCCCAGCTGGCTTAGACAACACCCAGAGATTCTGGGAGGTGCAGTCCAAAACATTCCAGAGGGACAACGCTTGGGATATAGAAATGCTTGGTCTCTATGGCAGAGTAGAGTGCAGCCTAGTCGAGGCCTGGTCCAACTTGGGCCTTCTCTCCAAGTATTGTGGGCTTCAACTCCCACAATTCCTGACAGCCTACCAGCTGAGGGGAGGCCTAAGTTGGCCCAGGCCTGGAGACTCTAGCCAGTGAGATAGCAAAGGTTTTCCCCTGACATTAAGTCCAGTCGTGTCAGACTCTGGGGGTTGGTGCTCATCTCCATTTCTAAGCTGAAGACCCGGCATTGTCCGTAGACACCTCCAAGGTTATGTGGCCGGCATGACTGCATGCAGTGCTGTTATCTTCCCGCCTGACCAGTAGCTGATCCCCAACCCATCTAAAACACAGACATGTGCCTTTCATCTCAAGAACAGAGAAGCATCCCAAGCTCTGAAGATCACCTGGGAAGGAATCCCACTGGAGCATTGCAACGCACCCAAATACCTGGGAGTCACTCTGGACTATGCTCTTACCTACAAGAAGCACTGCCTGAACATCAAGCAAAAAGTGGGTGCTAGAAACAATATCATACGAAAGCTGACTGGCACAACCTGGGGATCACAACCAGATACAGTGAAGACATCCGCCCTTGCGCTGTGCTACTCTGCTGCTGAGTATGCATGCCCAGTGTGGAACACATCTCACCACACTAAAACAGTAGATGTGGCTCTTAATGAGACATGCCGCATTATCACGGGGTGTCTGCGCCCTACACCACTGGAGAAATTACACTGATTAGCCGGTATTGCACCACCTGACATCCGCCGGGAAGTAGCAGCCAATAGTGAAAGGACCAAGGCAGAGACATCTCCAGCTCATCCCCTGTTTGGGTATCAGCCAGCACGTCAACGACTTAAATCTAGAATAGTTTTCTAAGATCTACATAGACACTCGCTGGAACACCTCAGCAAGCGAGAGTCCAAAAGTGGCAGGCTCAAACCCAGAACCTCAACCAATGGCTGATACCAAATGAGAGACTCTCCCCCTGGGCACACAGAGGACTGGGCGACTTGGAAGGTGCTGAACAGACTGTGCTCTGGCACCACGAGATGCAGCTCCTCATGTGGGGACATGAGAGAAGCCTCCCACAAGGATGATAAAAACATCAAATCATCCAGGCGTCCCTTGGGCAACATCCTTGCAGACGGCCAATTCTCTCACACCAGAAGCAACTTGCAGTTTCTCATGTCGCTCCTGACACGACCAAAAAAAAAAGGCTCTGCAGAAATTGCTTTAGCTGTATTTTGCTAACCCATTTGCGTCAAGGTCCAGGTGGCATTCAGAAACCTTTTACTGTGGCCATTTTTTTTCAGGACCTCAACACTGAGTGAAGGGGGCCCCATCTGAGGCCAGGACCTACAGTTTAAGGAGCACTGATGTATATACCATATAAAAGGGGTTAGACAAGACATGGACAAACTTTGGCCCTCTGTGAGTTTTGGACTTGAATTCCCATAATTCCTAACAGCTGGTGGAAGTTGAAGTTCAAAACACACAGAGGGACGGAGTTGGCCCATGCCAGTGATAGATAATAATAATAATAATAATAATAATAATAATAAATCTTTATTTGTACCCCGCCACCATCTCCCCAAAGGGGACTCAGGGCGGCTAACATGAGGCCAAGCCCAAAATTACAGTACAGCAAAATAAAATACAAAGAAGCAAAAATAACATCAAAATAAAATACATAAAATAACAAAATAAAATAAACAGTTACTAAATAACATAATAGAGAAATAGGACACAATGGGCAGGCCAAATGCACAGGATAAAATTGATAAAACCCTGGATGAGATAAGTAGTGGGACAATGTGTTTCTGAGGGAGGAGCTCAAAAGGGGCGAACAGTGGGGTTAGACCTTCATTGAGGGTGGAGGGAGGACGGAAACTGTAGTTGGAACAGATGAAATATGGAATATATGTTCACTCGCCAAAGGCACATCAGAAGAGCCAAGTTTTTAGATATTTCTTAAAAGCTGTCACAGTAGGGGCTTGCCTAATCTCACTAGGTAGCGAGTTCCAAAGCTGAGGGGCCACAGTGGAGAAGGCTCTCTTCCTCATCCCCATAAGTCGTACTTGTGATAATGGTGGCGGTGAAAGGAGGGCCTCCCCAGAGGATCGAAGAGATTGTGCAGGTAGATGGTAGGAGATGCGGTCACGAAGGTAGATGGGTCACAAACCATTCAGGGCTTTGTAGGTGATAACCTGCACCTTGAATTGGAATGGGAAGATGAACGGCAACCAGTGGGGCTCCTTAAACAGGGGGGGGGGGGGTAGACAGATAGATATGAGCTTATGATAGGAAACAAGAAAGAAAATATGCAGGGAAGCATTAAAAGTTACTTTTTTGTTGCAGATTAGACATAGCTAGGGAGTTCTTACATTTTTCCACTTGGACCACTTTCTACCTGAGAAATGTTTTCATGGCCTCGTTTCTGGCTGAGAGGTTTGTCATGTATAAAATAAAGTATACAAACATTTATTCATAATAAACTGGTATTTGCAAGGCTTGCTAAGCTAATGTTCCTTTTTATCAAGTACAGCTGAAGCAGTTTCTGCAGAGTTCACTATACATCCTGCCTACAGGCTCTGCGGAAACTGCTTTACTTGTACTAGCCTATTTGCATCAAGGTCTAGGTGGTGTTCAGAAACCTTTTCCTGTGGCCAAATTATTCAAGATCTCAATATTGTCAGAAAAGTGGTTTTCTAATTACTGTCTTCTGAATTACTGTCTTCTGAAATTTCAGATAGATTTTATGGTCATTGGGCAAGATGGCTGCCAGTGATAATTCATTAGCAGAAACTTCCTCCTTGAACAACACTGAGGGTAAGTTTCATTTTAAGTTTCTTCACTTGTTGAACCTGAGAGTCCAGGTTGCAATCTTTTATTTCAGTGCTCAGCTTTTTCAGATTAGATAGTCACTGAGAGTTATTATTATTATTATTAGTAGTAGTAGTAGTTAATGGTCTTGATGCTCAGGCCCTAAAGCCTGCTGGCATTCAGACTCTTGCTAAAGATATCAACATCTGCCTCATTAATGATCAAGTTTTGAATTTCTACAAATAGTCTGAGAACTCTTGGTCAAGATGCTGCTTGACCCATACCTGTGTAGTTCCACTCCTTACTTACTTACTCAGGCGATCCCTCATTGTCTGAGTACGATTGTCTTCCAAGATCGGTGTCCTGGCGATGGGTACAAAGGTGACTGTGGAGCCCTATTCTTGACCTGCATGTTCTCCCGCAGTGAGGGCATTGGTTTCCAAGTGGAAGGCGGTCCCGGTCGGGGTTGGCTTGATGCGCCTTCCTTGCACATTTCTCTCTTTCGCCCTCCATTTGTGCCTCTTCAAATTCTACAGCACTGCTGGTCACAGCTGACCTCCAGCTGGAGCGCTCAAGGGCCAGGGCTTCTCAGTTCTCGGTGTATATGCCAGAGTTTTTAAGGTTGGCTTTGAGCCCATCTTTAAATCTCTTTTCCTGTCCTCTAACATTCCATTTTCTGTTCTTGAGTTTGGAGTAGAGCAACTGCTTTGGGAGATGGTGGTCGAGCATTTGGACAACGTGGCCGGTCCAGCGGACTTAATGGCGGAAGACCATCACTTCAGTGCTGGTGGTCTTTGCTTCTTACAGCACACTGACATTTGTCCGCCTGTCTTCCCAAAAGATTTGCAGGATATTTCAGAGGCAACGCTGATAGAATCGTTCTAGGAGTTGCATGTGATGTCTGTAGATAGTCCACGTTTTGCAGGCGTATAGCAGGGTTGGGAGGACAATAGCTTTATAAACAAGCACCTTGGTATCCCTATGGATGTCCTGGTCCTCAAACACTCTGTGCTTCATTTGGAAAAATGCTGCACTCACAGAGCTCAGGCAGTGTTGAATTTCAGTGTCAATGTTGACTTTAGTGGAGAGGTGGCTGCCAAGGTAGCGGAAATGGTCAACATTTTCTAATGTTGCACTATTAAGCTGTATTTCTGGCATTGGAGAGGAGTTGGCTGCTGGAACAGCACTTTGGTTTTCTTGATGTTCAATGACAGGCTGAGTTTCTTGTATGCTTCTGTGAAGGTGTTTACCGTGGCTTGTAGGTCTTCTTCTAAATGCGCATAAACGACATTGTCATCAGCATATTGGAGTTTTATAACAGATGTCGTTGTGACCTTGGTTTTGGCTTTCGGTCCACTGAGGTTAAATAGCCTGCCATCTGTCCAATAGATGATTTCTACTCCAGTGGGAAGCTCCCCATCAGCAAGATGAAGTATCATAGCGATGAAGATGGAAAATAAGGTTGGGGCAATAACACATCCCTGTTTGACAACTGATTACACCTTAAATGGGTCACTTTGGGAACCATTGCTGTCCAAGACAATTCCACTACACACTTGCTTGGCAAATGTCATGGATGAAGTAGTCCTGTGTTACATCTGTCTGGCAATATAATTGGCTTGGCTGAAAGGTTAGTTTTCTTATAATATCCTCTAGCCTTCCCCTGATGTTTCTAATTTAAGAGACAGAGTGCATGCCTCTTGTTTCCCAGAGTGTGTGAGTGAGTTTTCCCCAAATCCTCCATGTTGTGTTAACAAGAAATGCCACAAATAAAATTTGGGCCAGACTTTTACACCCTGGATACAGCCTTGTCAAATCACTTGTTTACTAGGAGGCCGCTTTTCCTTGCTTCATATGACTGGCTTCTAAAACATAAACAACCTCCCTCCTCTCTTGCCCTTCTGTGTTCCTTTCTTGCTTTCGTAAATCGAGTTGAGGAATGGTTTGCTCACCTGTTCTTCCAAAATTTGTTATGAGCTGCAGCTTGTCCAGAGCTATGTAAACACACTATGCTGTTTCATTCCTGTCATAATAAAATTGATGTCTGCTACCCTCCTTATAACAATTTTTGGGTATATTGGTATTTAAAACCAGATACTGAAGAAGAAAATAAGCCCTCTGAAGCCAACATTTTACAGCTTTGCACAGAAATTTGAAATTTAGCCAAAATTAGGTGCCTTGCTGCTTGGTTGAGCTGCTGCTGTTTTTCCTGTTTTGAAACTCGAGAGTTACTAAGAATAACTTCACTCTTCCATCTAGTCAGAGCGGGTACTTCTGTGTCACTGTTTTCAGTATGCGGCTCTTTCTTTATTTCATACAGTGGTTGGAAAGAACTGAAGTTTATTTTGATAGGGAGATAGAGTTGAAAACATGGCAAGGATTGCTTCAGTTTCCCAGGAGGTGTTCCTATCTTCTGTTCCTTTGAGGTAGCTACCAACTCCGGTAACAAAAGTTGCAGTTCTGTGGTTTGGGCATGTAAGCAAGAGCTCAACTCATGTTACAGAGTAAGTTTCAGCATTTTCTAAGGCCAGCTTTGAGAAATGTTCTGTGAATAGCAAAACCCTCAGTTGCTGTTACAGAATCTCCTTTGGTCAAATGAGGTCAGTTGAACTGCATATCTAGTGATTAGATACCAATACTTTGCATCCTAAGAGAGGGTTGTCATTCTAAAGGAATCTGAAAGTCTCAGTTTGCTTTAAAAGATAGCTCTTCTATATTGGGCAAGTTTCCTAGATATTGAATATAATGAAAAGCGATGGGAAAATTAAATATCAGCGAATGTTCTGGGTTGCCGGGAGGTTTTTGGGCCAATGTTCTGGTTCTAACTTCCACAAATTCTATTTTTCTTTCCTAGTATTCTGCAATTCTGGTGCTAGTTCTTCATTTCAACCAATAAAAACCCAGATGGCCATCCCAACAGCTCATGTCACACCTTCCAGACTGAATCCCTGTCTTGATTCTGTGAATGAATCAAGCACATCTTGGGTCGCTCTGGAACCCTCTCGGACAAGGTCATCCAATGAGAAACAAGGGGAGACATCCAACTTCAACTCTGACACTCTGAGTCACTCCTGGGTATTCCACAGAAACCCTCATATGTACCAGACTGCAGTGGGAAATGTCTGTGATCAATCCTCTGACCCAACAAGTGTGCCACACACTCAAATGCCTACAAGATTGGCTGCTGACCTCACACTTAATCAACCTGTGTCCAAAGATCGGCAAGCCACTGATTATTGGTCCCAGCTCCAAATGGTCTCTCCAGATACCAATGCTGGCTTAGAAGAAGAACCACACCAAAGGTTGTCAAATGCCAAGTCAACAACAGAGACGAACACAGTCTCTGAAAAACATGTGTCATCAGGGCTTTATCCTGCCAGTCTGTATTCCAGCCCAGCAGTTGCTCAGTCTCAACAGTGGAAGCAAGGCTCTTGTGGGCTACATCAGCATGAGAACTGCCCACTTAGTGCCTGTATACAGCGCTTGGAAAAGGTTCGGCTGGAACAGGTGCAGGTACAAAATGCTTTTAAACAGTCTGCTTAACTTCTGATGAAATGGGTATCTAGACAGTGTTTTTAATTTAGAATAAATCCTCATTATTAGCTTTGTATGTGAATGGGGTATCCTGTTTGTCTCCCAAAATATATTGTAGTATAGATTAATTAAACTAGTGTTCAGTCTTTTGATATAGGAGTGAATAAAAGGAAACGTGCACTTGTTGATTGAAATTGTTCTATTTGCCATCTTGTGCTTTCAGTCTGTTTGGTGAAATATCCTGCCTTTGCTGATTTATTTAGGATAGTGGTTCCCAACCTTTTTTTTTTTACCATCAAAAGAGTTACAAATCCGTTTAGATTCGATTTGGGATGCTGATTCAGAAAATTGCATTGGACAGATCACATCAGCTCTAGTTTCTGATACAGAACATATGCCATGGTCAGTGACAGGGAAGGAGTGGCAGGTGGCACGAAAGGAGCAGAAATAAAATAAAATAAATAAAGAGGAAGGAGGCTTGCAGACCAAATTTTTGTCCTTGCGGCCCATTGGTGGTCCACAGCCCACAGGTTAAGAACCACTGATTTAGGAGAATGTTGATGATGGTTAGTGCTATCTCTGTGGGTGGTATTCAGTTTACAGGACTTTGTACCAGGAAATTACGGGGTGCAAGTTTTCCAGGAGTTTCAAGCTATATATTCCAAGGAAGGCAATGGCAAATCACTTCTCAGTATTCCTTGGCTAAGAAAACCCTACAGAATTAATGGGGTTGCCATAGGTCATTATGGGAGTTAAAGGCACACAAAGACCTATTAGACAAGGTGGGTAGAAAGGAGAAACAAGCTTAGAGCATTCTTGTATTTGTCACATGCTGGTTTGTAGGATGCTTACAGATCTCTCCCAACGGCAATTCAGTTGTTCCTATTTTCTCTGTGTTTGGAGAAAATAGTAACAAATAAGTCAGCAAAAGGAATTGGGCTTATCCTGATTTCCTGGTGTGTTTTAAAGAATCTTGCTGTAAAATTCTTATAGCTAGGCCTGGCAAATCTAGTAGATATTTTCCTGTGACACAAACTAGTCAAATATTGTTCCAGACAGAGTTGTTTTTTTCATCGTGCTTGGAAGTGGTTCTCAAATAGCTGCATATAAGAGAAGCCTTGGGTGCTATTGGTATACAAATAACATAGAAAGAAAATAACCTCTGTGATAGGGGCTCATACTTTGTCTGTTTTGTGCACCTCATATTTCCAGTTGCAAAATCAAGCTGCTTGCTACCATCCCTTATTGAACAACACTCCACTACATACTCTTGATCCAGCCCAGTGGGCCAATATTGTGAGTGCAAATGAGAACTTGCTTAGGGAGAGAGAGATTCTCATTGACAGGTAAGAGACCTAACAAGAGGAATACGTTACAGGTTTTTGTAGTGATTAATAATCCTAACATGATATAGTATCATGTTATTACAAAAATTAATATTGCAGTCCTAAACACATTACAAGTAAGCATCACTAGATATAGATGGCCTCTAAATGTAACTATGGTAGTCTTATGGTATCCTTTTTTTTTTTTGCTAAGAGGAGAATGAAATTATACAATACTCTCATTATCCTCTCAGTAGTTACAGCTGTATTTTCTATTTCAGAAGTACAAAGGATTGATACAGCAAAGTCCTTTTTAAAATGCTCTCCCCACCCCCTTAATATCATAAGAAAGTTTTAAAGATGGTCCTTTAATGTGTTTGAACAGCTTCTTGTAGTTACATTGAGAGTTGGCTCATTTTTAAGCAGAATACTGAATTTTGCTTCTACATTTGGCTATGAATGTTGTCTTGTGCACTTTATTGCCTTGTGTTACAACAACAACAATTTTTATTGATTAGCCAATTGGCCTTATCAAAAACAGACACAACATACAACATACATCTAGTCCTCTTAAAATAAAATACTGAGAGAAAAGAGAGAAGAATATTTGTTTCTCAAAAAGCTTTTTTATCTTTCTGCCCTGTTTTTCTTTTGATTATGAACAGATACATCATTTAAAATGTCATATAGAAAAGTCACTTTAACTGAAGCAAACTCTTTGCTTTGGCCTGTGATGTCCTGATTTTCTAAATGTTTGTGTGTTTATTTGGTGATTTATCTTATTTGAAGGCAGAGGCGGCACATTTCCCAGTTGGAGCAGAAAGTATGGGAAAGTGAGCGGCAACTCCATAGTGCAGCCTTTGGCCACCCTGCTTCTTATGGAGACATGTACCTGCTCAGGATGCAGGTAAACCCCAGCATCTCACATTTGGTGTGGTTTGAGGACGTCAACTATGTTAACTTACCTGAAAAAAGCCTAAAGGACTAATACTGGTTTGGAAAAGGTGGGCAGATGGAAGAGGCAGGCCATTCATCTTTTGCTTTGCCATCTCTTTAACTCTTTATGTGACAATATTGACTGGATCTTTGGAAATAAAGTCTAAAGAGAAGCATGGTTAGTTCTACACCTGGTTCGAAAGAGTAGTAGAATGCTGACCCCTTCCACTGGCGCAGGGTGAAGCCTGCGCACTGATCCATACCACCATTGATTATCAAATTAGTGCTTAAAGCCAATGGCCTGCTTCTCTGTGGGGAAGGGGTAGCCCATTGTCCAACACACGTGTCAAATTCAAAACCCATGGGCTGAATTCAGCCCTCCGTGTTACTTCATGTGGCCCTCCAGATACTTAGATATCACTAGAGCTGATGGGAGTTATGATGCAGTAACCTCTGCAAGACTGCTGTTTGTTCTGTTTAGTCATAGTGGGGTTTGAATTTAGATACAAGGCTTGTGGATAGGATGTCTGGCTTTAAAATGCCCTTCAAACATTCCCTAACCTCAGAGTCACAGGGACTGCTTGATTGTAAATCCCATTATTCCCAGTCCACATGATGGATCATTCAAAGTGATAGAAGTTGTTGTTCAATAATATCTTGCCCCCAAATTGAGCACCGACCAGTATGCAAAAAAAAAATTATAGTTGGCCCTCTGTATCCACATTCTCGATAAAATAGTAAAGAGCAGAGACATCACACTGGCAACAAAGATCCGCATAGTCAAAGCCATGGTATTCCCTGTAGTAACCTACGGATGTGAGAGCTGGACCTTAGGGAAGGCTGAGCAAAGGAAGACAGATGCTTTTGAACTGTGGTGTTGGAGGAAAGTTCTGAGAGTGCCTTGGACTGCGAGAAGATCCAACCAGTCCATCCTCCAGGAAATAAAGCCCGACTGCTCATTGGAGGGAAGGATACTAGAGACAAAGTTAAAGTACTTTGGCCACATCATGAGGAGACAGCAAAGCCTAGAGAAGACAATTATGCTGGGGAAAGTAGAAGGTAAAAGGAAGAGGGGCCGACCAAGGGCAAGATGGATGGATGGCATCCTTGAAGTGACTGGACTGACCTTGAAGGAGCTGGGGGTGGTGACGGCCGACAGGGAGCTCTGGCGTGGGCTGGTCCATGAGGTCACGAAGAGTTGGAGACGACTGAACGAATGAACAACAACAAATCCACATTCTATGGGCTTTTAAAGGCAAGACCTTCCACAAGGGAGTGAAAATGTTGCTTTGTGACCAAGCCTTTAGAGAATTTGTGCAGTAGATAGACTTAGAACAATGTGCAATGACCATTGGAACAGCCTGGATCACGCTCATAGATTACATGTTTAACTTTGAATATATAGTTTTTAAATGTTTAATTGTTTTTTTTAATGTACTTTTAAATTCTATTTTAATATTTATTTAAGTGTACATTATGTTTTGAGGCATCAAATCGTTGCCTGTGTGTAAAGCCGCCTTGAGTCCCCTCCGGGGTGAGAAAGGTGAGGTAGAAATATCGTAAATAAATAAAACCATAAGGAAAATGTGGCCCTTGCTGAAAGTGAGTTTGAAACCCCTGGTCTAACAGATGGCTTGTGAACTATTCTGACCCTCAGTTGACTTTTGCAGGAATTGCAGAGGGAGAACACATTCTTACGGGCTCAGTTCACTGAAAAAATGGAGACGTTGACCAAGGAAAAGATTGAAGTGGAGAAGAAACTTGCTGTTTCAGAGGCAGGCATGAAACGGATTCAAGAGGCCAACAAAGAGAGCACACAGAAGCATACAGTGGACTTGAAGAAACAAGAAGAGAGGGTAGGTTGCCTGTTTCAGCATCAAGGGCTGGGATCCTGTTGGGGTTATGCTCGCATGGTTCACTTTATGGAGGAGGCAAAAAGAGATATTCTCCCCTCTGCCCTCTGGAGGCAGCTCCTTTGGCAAGAAAGTGTGCCCTCAGGGCCATTGAATAGTTGGCGGAGGATGGAGTGGAGCTTCATAGAGGCCCACTGCACTTTTGCAGGTGACCACGTCTCTTCACATCTTTCCCAAGTGCATCTGAGGTGGGATTAGGCTGAACTCTGCAGTGCTTGATTCTGGCGTGAAGTGCAAGGCCCAGGTGAAATTCTGGTGCTTGAAGGCAAAAAAAAAAAAAAGCATTTGCCACTCAACTATAAGCAAAGTAGCCTGTGCTTACATTGTGGGTGAAAGGCATGAGTGTTAAGAATGTCCAAATGTGTGCTGGTTTGTGCAGGTGAAGGCAAGAGACAAACACATAGAATATCTCAAAAAGAAATGCCTAAAAGAATCGGAGCAAAATTGTGAGAAACAGCAGAGAATTGAGACTCTGGAACGCTATGTGGCTGACCTCCCCACGTTAGAAGATCATCGGAAACAACAGCAGCAGGTAGAATATCTTCCAGGGTCTTTTTGGAGTTCTCTGCATGTATCCGAGAGTGCCTAAGGGTGGCTGGAGTGCCAATTTATTCCATCAGAAAGACGTCTGACTTCAGACTGCATGGACTTGTAACGGGAGATGTCCCAATGTTTAGTTTTGTGTAAAAGAACAACTAGAATGAATTTGATTGGCTCTGAAGTGTGCTTTTCTCCAATTTTCTAGTTAAAAGAATCTGAGCAGGCAACGGCAGCTCTGCAAGAAACCATCACGGCTCTTGAGACGGAACTTGGGGACATTCGTGCCAATTGCAGAGAGAAGGAATCACAGCTAGAAATGCAGAAACACAAGGAAATGGAACTACTTTCCACTGTGCTCAGGTAGTGATTTCTGGAATCAAGAGGAGATTATGGTGATGATAATGATGATCCTGATCCTGTTTTCTCTCTCAAAAAGAGCAACTCAAAGTGGTGTACAGCAGTGTTTTTCAACCTGGGGGTCGGGACCCCTGGGGGGTCACGAGGGGGGTGTTAAAAGGGTCGCCAAAGACCATCAGAAAACATAGTATTTTCTGTTGGTCATGGGGGTTCTGTGTGGGAAGTTTGGCCCAATTCTATCGTTGATGGGGTTCAGAATGCTCTTTGATTGTCAATCCCGACAACTACAACTTCCAAATGGCAAGGTCTATTTTCCCCAAACTCCACCAGTGTTCACATTTGGGCATATTGAGTATTCGCGCCAACTTTGGTCCAAATCCATCATTGTTTGAGTCCACAGTGCTCTCTGGATATAGTTGAATTACAACTCCAAAATTTAAGGTCAATGCCCACCAAACCTTTGTAGTATTTTCTGTTGGTCGTGGGAGTTCTGTGTGCCAAGTTTGGTGGAGTTCAGAATGCTCTTTGATTGTAGGTGAACCATAAATCCCAGCAACTATACCCCCCCCCCCAAAAAAAAAAAAAAAAACCCTCCAGTATTCAAATTTGGGTGTATCGGGTATTTCTGCCAATCCATCCTGCATATTAGATTTTTCATTATGGATCATAACTGTAGCAAAATTACAGTTCTGAAGTAATAGTGAAAATAATTTTATGGTTGGGGGTCTCTACAACATGAGGAACTGTAGTAAGGGATTGCGGGATTAGGAAGGTTGAGGAACACCGATCTATTCCTTGGAGTATCTTTGTTTTATGTGCTCTTTAAACGAATGTTATGTGTTTTGTCTGTTGTTGCACCTCACCTGGATCCATATGGAAAGAGGGTAAAAAAAATAGACATTATTATTATTATTATTATTATTATTATTATTGGGATTGAAATTTCCAGAATCTCCCAAAATCTGCTTCTCATGGGGGCAATTTATCATCCCCATGGAGTTGTTACCCCCAAAATTAAACTTTTCTAGGCCTGCCCTAGACATGGTAGTTCTGTCTGTTTACTTTTTGATGGTGGCTCCTTAAACTTGTGTAGTCAAGAGTCCATGTGCATGCTCATGGCATTCGGAAGGTTGAGAACCACTGGGTTACAGTAAAACTGAAACAATACAATTTAAAACCCAACTTACAAATATTAAAATAGAGAAATGAAGAGAAATGGATTGAACTGAGAAAATATTAAATTTGTTGTTTCTTAAAAAACCTAATCCTGTACTGTGCCTATGGAAGAGCTCTAGTATAAACAGTAAAGAGTGGGAAGCAGTGCCTGTATTGAGGTAGGAAGTAGAAATATTAGCAGAACATTATTTTGTGCTTCCATAACAAAAAGTCTAAAATTGTGGTTTTTTTCATACTGTTGACATCCTGTGTCTTAGCTTGCAAGATAAGATAGAACGTGGGAAGACTCCTGCAGTAGAAGACTTGGCCCAGGAGGCAGAGAGAGAGAAACGAGAAAAGGAGTCATTGCAGAAAGAGTGTGCCCTTCTCAGAAAGGTAATTATTGCAAGAGGAGGACAAAAGGGGATCAATAGATGACCTCTTGAGGGTATTACCTGTGGCCCAAAATTGGCCGGTCCACACTGCCACTGAAACATGTGGCTGCTGCATTGTCATCCCCTTCACTACTCAGTGCTTCAGAAATGCAGCCTTTGGGATTCTTTTTTAAAATGTTTGTTTCATATATCTCGGTTTCTTTTCAATTTCTTAAACTATAATAATTAAAAATTGATTCTGTAAATGCTTAATCTCATAAATCAATTCTTTATTTGTTGGGTTCTGTGCTGGAACTGTATAAATTCCAGTTCGTTTTGTCAGGCTTCCTCACCCTCCGTTTTAGAGTAGCCAGAGAGTCGGACACAACTAGACTTAATGTCAATTGGCATCCCTTCCAACTCTAGGGTTCTATTATTGTGTTGTTGTTGTTGTTATTGTTGTTATTGTTGTTATTAAGCAGAGTTGTATGGCCATCTTTCATGAGGACTTGGATGTATGTTCCTCCCTGGCCATTGGGGTCCTTTCCTACTCTAGGGTTCTGTTGTTGTTGTTCATATTAAGCAGAACAGGATGGCCACCTGTCAGGAGGGCTTGGATGTGTTTTGCTGCCTGGCAGAATTAGGGTTAGACTGAATGGCCATTGGAGTCTCTTCTAACTCTAGAGTTCTATTATTATTGGTGTTGTTCGGGAAAAGACATTGGACCTGGGCTCACTCTAGGTAAGGTAAAGGTTTTCCCCTGACATTAAGTCCAGTTGTGTCCAACTCTTGAGGGTTGGTGTTCATCTCCATTTCTAAGCCAAAGAGCTGGCTACCACTCTTGATAGTCTTGGATTTAAAATCAAATCTGATGTTTTTTAAATTTTTATTTGGTGTGCATTGGAAGAGGGGTGGTCTTATATGGAGAGTATATCCCAAAATCTGTATTTTAACTGTAAAAGTTGGAGGGTCGTCTTATACGCCCAGTCGTCTTATACACCGGAATATACGGTATGCCCTTTTGTGATTCTTTCAGCTCTCCTCTCTGAGGAAGAGCACATACATACTGAGAATAATAAATATACATGGTGTTTTTTACTGTTTTTCAGATTGTGGACAAGCAGAAGAAAAAGATTGATCTGTTATCTTCGCAAGTCAAAGTGAGTTTCTTTTTGACAGATTAGCTACATAATAATCTAGACTGGGTTATACTGGTCTATACTGAGCCCATAATCCTTGTTGGGAGAGTGGGCTTATTAACAAAAGACCCTCCTCATAAAAGTACAGCAGAGTCAGTTGTGAGCAGCAACATGACCCAGCACCAGTAGCCCAAAGTGATAAAAAGAACAAAAAACATACAGACCAATGTTATCTCTTCCATAGGAGGCTTTTCTTTGTAGTAAAATAATATGGTTGCACTATTTACAAGAACTAGGTTTCCATAACACAAAAAAAGTTCAACCTTCACATTGGAGCTTTGCACACAAGGCTCCTCTCATGCGGAGGTTTACCTCATACTCCTCAGGACAACACTTGCTTTGGCCCACTAACAGGCTTTGTTTGGCCTGCTCACTCTCTTCAGGATGGCACTAGCTTTAGCCCACTAACTCTTAACAGGCTTTGTCCTACTCACTCTCCTCAGAATGACACTAGCTTTGGCCCACTGACTCTAACAGGCTTTGGCCTACCCACTCTCCTCAGAACGACACTAGCTTTAGCCCACTAACTCTTAATAGGCTTTGGTCTGCTCACTCTCCTCAGAACGACACTAGCTTTGGCCCACTAACTCTTAATAGGCTTTGGCCTGCTCACTCTCAGGACAACACTGGTTTTGGCTCACTGACTCTTAACAGGCTTTGGCCTATTCACTCTTTCAGTGCTTTACTCACACTTTTGTAATCAAAAATACCCAGTTAATTTTTTTAAATATTTCTGGCAGTTCTTGCATCCAGCATCCTTCACACAGGCTTAACCTGAAGCTTTTTCTGCATTTCCTCTTCCAGGACCTGGAGGCACAAATGGCTCAGGAGGAAGGCACTGGCCAGGCACTCAAGGCTGAAGCGCTGAGGCAGGAGAATGCGCTGCATCAGCTGCGTGTGGCTGTAAAAGAGGTAGTCTTCCTTTGAAAAGTTACCATCTGTTGAACAGATGGATCATCCACATTGTGCAATATGACTCTTGCTGCAACTTTCTCTTTTGAACAGAGCTTCTGATAGTTTAATGAATCTTTATGGTTGGAGGCCGTTAGAATATATCCTTTTCGATATATATTTCAATATATATTTCTTGTAGTTTGAATATATCCTTCAAACTACAAGAAAGGAGATTCCATCTGAACATGAGGAAGAACTTCCTGACTATGAGAGCTGTTCAGCAGTGGAACTCTCTGCCTCAGAGTGTGGTGGAGGCTCCTTCTTTGGAAGCTTTTAAACAGAGGCTGGATGGCCATCTGTCGGGGGTGCTTTGAATGCAACTTTCCTGCTTCTTGGCAGAATGGGGTTGGACTGAATGGCCCATGAGGTCTCTTCCAACTCTATGATTCTATGATTCTTAGAACTTGCCACACTCTGATTAGTTGTAACTCTGCTATTGGTTTGGTATTAATACTGTTCTTGGTGCCGATTCACAAGATCTCTTTGCATGCCACGAAATGGATTGTTGGGTTTCTTGTATTTGCTGGAAACCTCTCACTTCCTCACTGTATTTCATTTATTATCTATGTGATGTCTATCCACCTTTTCTTTCAAATGGGACCCAAAGCCAGTGATAAGTTAAAACATTTAAATAATATCCCTACAACAATTCATAATATTAAAAAAATGTTAACCATTAAATGGCATTATGCTTGAAAACATTAGAAACAGTTCAAAACACATTACAGCATCTTGCTCAATAAGCGTGCGTGGAAATTTTCTTGCTCTTTCCATGGTGATGCAACTTTATGATTGCCTTGTCTCAATACATCATGTTTATGGGTTGGTTTTCCTTTAGATATTTGAAAAGGGACTGAGGTAAATGGTACCTAAAGACCTGTTGAACTTTTTGTATATGAGGTGGCCTTAAAAAGATAGATCTTTTCCTCACAGTTGAAAGAGAATAGAATGATAGAATCATAGAGTTGGAAGAGACCTCATGGGCCATCCAGTCCAACCCCCTGCCAAGAAGCAGGAATATTGCATTCAAAGCACCCCTGACAGATGGCCATCCAGCCTCTGTTTAAAAGCTTCCAAAGAAGGAGCCTCCACCACACTCCGGGGCAGAGAGTTCCACTGCCGAACGGCTCTCACAGTCTGGAAGTTCTTCCTCATGTTCAGATGGAAACTCCTTTCTTGTAGTTTGAAGCCATTGTTCCATTGCGTCCTAGTCTCCGGGGAAGCAGAAAACAAGCTTGCTCCCTCCTCCCTGTGACTTCTTCTCACATATTTATACATGGCTATCATATCTCCTCTCAGCCTTCTCTTCTTCGGGCTAAACATGCCCAGCTCTTTAAGCCGCTCTTCATAGGGCTTGTTCTCCAGACCCTTGATCATTTTAGTCGCCTTCCTCTGGACACATTCCAGCTTCTCAATATCTCTCTTGAATTGTGGTGTCCAGAATTGGATACAATATTCCAGGTGTGGTCTAACCAAAGCGGAATAGACGGGTAGCATGTCTTCCCTAGATCTAGACACTATGCTCCTATTGATGCAGGCCAAAATCCCATTGGCTTTTTTTGCCGCCACATCACATTGTTGGCTCATGTTTAACTTGTTGTCCACGAGGATTCCAAGATATTTTTCACACGTACTGCTCTCGAGCCAGGCGTCCCCCATTCTGTATCTTTGCATTTCGTTTTTTCTGTCTAAGTGGAGTATCTTGCATTTGTCACTGTTGAACTTCATTTTGTTAGTTTTGGCCCATCTCTCTAATCTGTCAAGATCTTTTTGAATTCTGCTCCTGTCCTCTGGAGTATTGGCTATCCCTCCCAATTTGGTGTCGTCTTCAAACTTGATGATCCTGCCTTCTAACCCTTCATCTAAGTCATTAATAAAGATCTTGAACAGGACCAGGACAGAACCCTGCGGCACTCCACTCGTCACTTCTTTCCAGGATGAAGACGAAGCATTGGTGAGCACCCTCTGGGTTCGTCCATTTAACCAATTACAGATCCACCTAATTGTAGTTTTGCCTAACCCACATTGGACTAGTTTCCTTGCCAGAAGGTCGTGGGGGACCTTGTCGAAGGCCTTACTGAAATCCAGGTATGCTACATCCACGGCATTCCCCGCATCTACCCAGCTTGTAACTCTATCGAAAAAAGAGATCAGATTAGTCTGGTATAACTTGTTTTTGATAAATCCATGTTGACTATTAGCGATGACCGCATTTGTTTCTAAGTGTTTGCAGATCACTTCCTTAACAATCTTTTCCAGAATCTTGCCTGGTATCGACATGAGGCTGACCGGACGGTAGTTGTTTGGGTCATCCTTTTTTCCTTTCTTGAAGATTGGGACCACATTGGCCCTCTTCCAATCTGCTGGAACTTCTCCCGTTCTCCAAGAACTCTCAAAGATGATTGCCAATGGTTCCGAAATGACTTCCGCTAGTTCCTTCAATACCCTTGGGTGTAGTTGATCTGGCCCTGGGGACTTGAACTCATTTAGATCAGCCAGGTATTCCTGGACAACTTGTTTCCCTCTGATCCCTCATCCACTCCGTCTTGCTGAGGCTGAAGATGACTTTCTTTTTGTGAGAAGACTGAGGCAAAGAAGGCATTAAGTAGTTCTGCCTTTTCCCTACCCCCTGTCAGCATTGCCCCATCTTCTCCTCAAAGAGGCCCTATCGCCTCCTTGTTCTTCCTTTTTCCACTGACATAAGAAAAGAAACCCTTTTTATTGCTTTTACTGTCCCTGGCAAGCCTGAGCTCATTTTGTCCTTTAGCCTTGCGGACCTTTTCCCTGCAGGAGTTGGCTATTTGTTTGAATTCTTCTTTGGTGATTTCTCCCTTTTTCCACTTCTTGTGCATGTCTCTTTTGTGTCTTAGCACAGTTAGAAGTTCTTTGGACATCCATTCTGGCTTCTTTGCACTTGTCCTATTTTTTCTCTTTGTAGGCACTGTGTGCAATTGTGCCTTGAGTATTTCACTCTTGAGAAACTCCCATCCATCCTTAACTCCCTTGTCTTTTAGTATCTATGTCCACGGAATGCTGCTCAGTGTTTCCTTCATTTTTTGGAAATCAGCTCTCCTAAAGTCCAAAATGCGGGTTTGACTTGTCTTAGTTTCGGCCTTCCTTTGTACCTCAAATTGCAGGAGCACATGGTCACTTGCCCCTAAGGATCAACCGCATCGATCAGGTCCTCCGCATTTGTTAGGATGAGATCAAGAGTAGTCGAACCCCCCACATACTGTATTTCAATTCCTGATAGGTATGGCAGCTAAGGAATTGCAAAGGTATGAGTCGACACGATTTTGTATTATTTAGTTCTTTGGTGATGAAGTTTGAGGGGCTTTATTTATTATTTATTTATTTATTTATTTATTTGCTTTATTTCTATACCGCATTTTTCAGCCCAAACAGGCGACTCAATGCGGTTTAAACCAAGAAGAATCGCAGAGATTGTAGTCTTCATTAATAGAAACTGGGATTTTTAAGTGCGTTTAGATTTTGCTGTTCTTGAGCTGATCCTATTTGGGTAGAAACCAATTTTGAATCAATTGATATCAGTATACTGAGCAAAGAGCTGTGCATAGTATGGAATTACGAGGGGTTCATTAAAGATTCCTTCTGAGCCACTTCCTGTGGACTGAGAGCAGTGAAACTTGGCCCAGTTATGAGTCCTTCTCTCTATCGGTGCCACTTAGGGACACACACTTCTCCCATCTTTTTAAGCAACTGTAAACCCCTTGCTTGTAGAAGTTGACAGCTTGCTCCAAAAGCTATGTTGCGACTTTGGAAATCAGAGTGTCATCATCTGCAAAATGCTTGCCCCTCAAAAATAACTTCCTTGTTGGAAAGAGGTGGAAGTCCAATGGTGCGAGGTCAGGTGAATCAGGGGGATGCAATAGAATTTCAAAGCTTGCTTCCATTTGGGCAACAGGTGAGTTGTGAACTGATGCATTGTCTTGCAGAAGTCACACACCTTTGGTGAGCATGTCAAGTCTCTTGATTTTGCTGGCCTCCCTCAATTTCCACAGCAGTGAAGCATAGTATGCCCCTGTGATCATTGTACCTTTTGCTCAGAAATCCATCATTACTACTCCTTGGTGGTCCCAAAATATGGTGAGCATGACCTTACCTGCTGAGAGTTGGGCACGTGCCTTCTTTGGAGGCAGTGAGTCATGATGCTTCAATTGCATCGACTGGTCTTTAGTCTCAGGATCATAGTGATGGACCCAGCTTTCATTCTGTGTGATTAGTCTGGTGAAAAAGTCCTCCTGGTTTCAATGGCATATCATTGTCAATAGAGCCTGAGAGCATTCAACTTGTTTCTGCTTCTGGAAAGGTGTGAGCAGCCAGGGACCCAGCGAGTGGATATCTTATGCATGTGAAGATGGTCTTGGATGATTTCTTCCCTGGACCACACACTAATCTTAACATTTTGGGCTAGATGGTGAATGGGTACATGATGATTTTCCAAAATTGTGATCTCCACTTGCTGAATGGTGTGTTCATCAATAGCAGAGTGGGGTTGCCCTGGAATTGGAGCTGTTTGCACCAAAGTCCGACCACATTTGAATTGATGATGCCAGTTCTTGATTACATCATATGATGGGGAATCCTCACCATCAACCTCTTTCATCTCATCAAATGTCTCCTTTGGTGTGCGGCCTTTCGAGTAAAGGAACTTGAGGACTGCTCTGTATTGCACTGGGTCCATTATCAAACCACACCACTTCAGCACCTGTACAATCAAGACCGTTCTTAGTTCTGAGTTGTAAATTGGCACATATCCTATAGAGACTTGCATCGTTACACATGTGCAGTTTCAGCGTCCTGTGATCAATAGAAGTGGGTCAGGGGAAATATTTAACAAACACCCTCTGTGTGTGTGTGTGTGTGTGTGTGTGTGTATAAACACTAGCCGTCCCCTGCCATGTGTTGTTGTGGCCCATGCTATGTGTATGTGTTTTGTGTCTGTATATATGTGTGTATATTTGTGTATATAAGTATATATGCAGTTACGTGCATGCGTTGTAATGTATTTGGGGGGGGGGGCTTTTGAAGTCCCTTTCGCTGTGTTTTTCAGTGTTTTTATGAGTGATGGTCACTCATTGATAGATGTATTGTGTCCAAATTTGGTGTCAATTTGTCCAGTGGTTTTTGAGTTGTGTTAATCCCACAAACAAACATTACATTTTTATTTATATAGTTCCCCGTCGTGGTCCCTGTGAATCCGTACATATGGTAGTTTCTGTGCCTGAGCGGACAGCTTTGGAACCTTATATACCATATATATCACATACTTTTAATGTTCTGAGCTGTGGCATTACGATTTGAGCAGTGAGATGGAGACAGCAGTTAGAAGAGTGTGACTCTTCAAAAGAACTGCATTGGGTAGTGCAGGAACTGCCATCGCCCTGCTCTCTTAGGACTGACATATCTATATACCATGATAGCTTCTCACTAGGGGGCAGTGACAGTTCATGCATTAGTCTGTAATGCTACAATGCATTAGTCTGTAATGCCTCTGTGTCTCTCCAGCTATCTTTACAGAATCAGGAACTGATGGAGAAGAATCTGACTCTTGAGGAGGACCTCCGGCAGACGGAGCCCGGCCAGGCCCTGCCGGATGAGGCAGCCCCCCTTTCCCAAGAGCTGCACAGAGAACTGGTCAGCTGCCTGCAGGACTTGCAGTCTGTCTACAGCATCATAACTCAAAGGGCTCAAGGAAAGGATCCCAACTTGTCATTATTGTTGGGCATTCGCAGTAAGTAGAAAGGACTGCTTTCCTCCATTTGAAGAGTCTGGTCAGAATCATGCTGATGTCATACATATCTGTAAGCATCCCTTACATGTGACCATACTGCAAGGGCCATTGTGCAGTTCACAGTCGCAGAAGTGTCATTCTACAACTGCAACTATTTCCCATGGAGCTAAATCTTACTTTTCGTCCTGATAGAGTAGAGTTGTTCTGGTATGGCTGTACCAGGAGCTCCAGCTTATCTTGCTATTTGTTGAGTGTTGTATGTTTTTTAAAGTTCTATGCATTTGCAGTTAGATGGCTTTCCTTACTTTGCAGTTATTGGGTCAATGACCTGTCACTTATCATTAGGTTTCCTAGTTCCGCCCCCTTTTTGGGTTTTGGAGGGAATAGGAGCCATTTTAGGTCAGTCCACACAGAGAAGTCTTTCTTACAGGACTTAAACCAAGACCCCTTGTAAAAGGCTTCATCATTTACAGCTTGGCCGGGGAGAAATAGCCCCATAGCTTGGCCGGGGATATACAGTCTCAGCACAGCTTTTGCTGGGGACTTTACAGTTTGCTGAGGAACTTACAGCCTCTCAGCTCTCTTGCTAGGGATCCAGTCCCACAGCGCTTCAGCCAGCCATCACTGGGAAGTGAACATCCTCCTCCTGGAAGTTCTGCAAAGGTCTCTGTTCGGTAAGGGCCCTTTGCGGCAACCATAAAGCAGATTGGACCGGGTGTAAGGGCCCCACGCCAACAGAAGAGAAGACAGATTGCCCAGGATAGAAGTCGGGGATTTTCCCAACAGTGAAGGAACAGTTGCCTGCCCTTGGGGGCAAGATCGAGAAAGCCAACAGTTTATTACGAAAACTTTGAATCCAATCATTGAAGCCTTGTTATTTGTTCAGTAATAAAGACTTTGTTGCATCTTTAAAGACTTTGAAGCCCATATTTTCAGGAAAATCCCAAAAACCTCTCTCTGAGGCAACCCCGGCGTCCCGTTGGGCTCACAGAAATTAAGTCCTGATTATAGTCTTTTATAGGAGCCCAGCGCACGACAGCACAAGAGCCATATGTGTTGTCTCATTGTTGCTCCAATTGGTTTGTTTAATTGGGCTGATCATGCAGTTACAACAATCTTGGATGATCTCCACAAACGTCACTATTACCTGTTCGTCCATGTTCAGCACTATTTCCAATTTTAATTTTACATTTGGCCTTCCCATAGTTTTTATTGTATGTTGTCGTAGTGTTAATGTTATATGTTTATGTTTTATTTTAATTGCTTGTATTGTTGTGATCATTGCTTGTATTGTGTGTTTGGGCTTGGCCTCATGTAAGCCGCACTCATGTAAGCCCCTTGGGGAGATGGTAGCGGGGTAAAAATAAAGTATTATTATTATTATTATTATTATTATTATGTGTATGTTTTTGTCAGTGCCATCAAATTCTAACTTGATTCACTGAGGAAATAGCCACGCTCCTTCCCACTATGCAACTGGACAGGAAGGAGATTCATTGTGCAGCTGACTATCTCTGCCAGTTTATGTATTCAGAAGGATTTTGCAGTTAAGCCAGCATGTAACCAGGGGTCTGTAGATTCAAGTAGGATCTTGGGGCTGTTTCTCTACAGCTCTGGAGATAGAAAAAAGACAAGGAACCCGTGGCCTTGCAATCCCCATCAGGACTGATAACTGTAATGAGTAGGACTTAGGAGAAAGGGATTCCAACATCTTGGAGCATGTTGATTACAGGTTGCCTCTTTGTGTTTTAGTAAGTAACATGTTGTGAAAATTACGAGGGAATTCTGTGCTGTGATAATTCACTTGTTTTGTTTCATACAAATATGTTTGCTCTACTTGAAGGTCTTTCTTTTGTAAGGTTTGGACCTCTTCTATTCTTGCATCTACCATCAAATTTCTGAAGCATTTGAAAATGGTGTCTCGTATTCATCTCACTGAGATAGAACATAAGCTTCCCTTTTGGAAAAAACTTTATGTACAGGCTTAAAAACATAAAATGTCGGGATATTCATTTGTAAACGTTAAAACAAGCAGATAAAACAAATGTCTAGAGAAACCAACAAAAGAAATCCATTTGTAAAACGAATGTATGCATATGTTGGTAGTTTTAGAGTTATAGGTAGGTAGAGTAGAGATGTATGTTTGTTAGGCAGTCATTGTCTATTTTGTAACATATTTTATTATGCTATAAACCAGGGGTCCTCAAACATTTTAAACAGAGGGCCAGGTCACAGTCCCTCAAAGTATTGAAGGGCCGGATTATAATTTGGAAAAAAACATGAATGAATTCCTATGCACACTGCACATATCTTATTTGTAGTGAAAAAAACACTTAAAAACTATACAATAATTAAAATGAAGAACAATTTTAACAAATATAAACTTATTGGTATTTCAATAGGAAGTGTGGGCCTGCTTTTGGCTGATGAGATAGGATTGTTGTTGCTGCTGCTGCTGTTGTTATGTGCTTTCAAGTAATTTCAAACTTAGGTTGACCCTGAGCGAGGGCCAAGTAAATGACCTTAGAGGGCCGCATCCAGCCCCCGGGCCTTAGTTTGAGGACCCCTGCTATAAACAGAAATCAACGAGCCATATTCTAAGTGTTACAAGGATAAATCCCAAATAATTCAACAAATATTACATTATGCTAATTTACACTAGTGTAGATTCTATTTTTCCTACCCTCTCCCTCTCTCCTCAACCACAGTATATTTCTACAAATGGGCAGTCATTGTCTAAATATGCCTGTGTTTATGTACTCATAAGTATTGTAACCTTTGTGTACTTTTTATTGTCAAAATTTAAAGACACAAGCTAATTTTTGGCATTGCCCCTCTCTGGAGGACATGGGGTCTCTGGTGCTAACCATACAATTGCAACTAATCCGTGTCCTTCTCTGACTTTACAGCTGTGCACTGTTCAGTTAACGAAAAGGAAGACTTCCTGAAGCCAGACCTGCTGGCAAAGAAGCTGGAGGATGTCAAACAGCTGCGCAAAGATATTGAGGATTTGCGGACTGCTATTTCTGACCGATATGCTCAGGATATGGGTGATAACTGCATCACGCAATGAAGGCAAAAAACAAAAATATCATTCAAAAAGTGCTTCTACATTTTAACCCAGATGGGTGCGTTGACACCAAAATATAATATTCCCTTTTAGGCAATAGCCCAACCCACTCCCCCCATAGAATATATAGCAGTGGGAGGGGCTACTGCCTCAGTTCCTTTAGTCCGCCACTCTTGCAGCAGCTGAGGAATCTTTCATTGTTCTTCATCTTTGACTAGTATTTCAGGACTGTGTGAATTTCTTCTCTTGAATGTTTGTTATTATTATTTCATGGTTATGATATGTTGACCACCACTTTCTTTAAGAAGCGTCCCTCAAGGGAGGGGGGGGGGAAGGCAGCCCAATGGATGTGTCTGCAGTGTCTGGGGAGAGGCCTTGGGAGTATGATCATGCACTTTCTGCCCCTTTTTCACCCCTCAGGCATGTAAGAACCGCAATTTTGTTTGGAATCCTGTTGGTATAACACACGTTAGTTCTTTTGGAAGGAGTGAAAATAGGTATTCACTACCTCTCTTGCACTGCATCCAAATCCACCTCCTCACTAGAGTTGATGTTGATGTTGACTGGCCTATCAGTGTGTGAATGTGTGATTCAGGTCATGAAGGAGCAGTTGGTCTCTGGCTGCAAAGGGAAAAGAAATGAAATGGGTCTCCCATGGAGAGGGCTTTCATTTCTCTTCTCTTTGCAGTTATTATCTGACCTGTCCAGGGTCAGGTTAGTCCAGACCAGGCATGGGCACACTTTGGCCCTCCAGGTGTTAAGTCCAAAATACCTGGAGAGCCAAAGTTTGCCATGGTTGGTCCAGACCCTTTAAGTGCCTATTTGCCTGCCTGCTTGCCTTCCTTTTTTGTGCAGAGCTCTGTGTGGAAAGGACTTTGCTCAACCTTCACATGACAGGATCTCATCTGCTGGCCCTTTCTCTGCAGGACTAACCTTTCAGTTCTGAAAACCTCTAATAGGGAAGAATCATGCAGTCCTCTGTTTTCATTCTAATGCTACACTTGGTAAGTTGATTGGTAATGGGAAAGAAGGCAGCTGACTGAATTTCTGTTGTTACTCCAAGAGAGCCTAATCCTTCAAGGATGCTGATTTTTAAAGAAATGTGGCTTATGTGTGATATTTCTGCTCCTTTCCTGTTTTTTCCTTCTTAGAATTGTTGCCAAAAGTTCCACCTACTTCTTTAGGAAAGTCTGAGTCTGCTATGACTCCTTTGGAAGGAACTAGTAGTCCAATTATTTGTGGCATCTGGTCAAACTTGTTTGCCAATGGAAGAATTGCATGTGTCTGCACAGAAAACCTCAGGGCTATAGTTTTTATATCCAAATAATATTTTGTCATTGCTAAAACCAAAAGAATGCTTGTTTGTCCTTTGTATATTGTTTACAAAATAAAGAAACCATCAGCCATCAGCTGTGGACCAACCTGAACGTTTGGTATCCTTGGTTTCATTGAATCGCCAGGAATTCACTTTCCCAGTTTTTCTTGTCCTACTTTTCCTGTATTACACTACTGTAGTGTTTCTCAACCTGGGGGTCGGGACCCCTAGGTGGGTCGTGAGGGGGTGTCAGAAGGGTCGCCACAGACCACCAGAAAACATTTTGTAGGTGAATGATAAATCCCAGCAACTACAACTCCCAAATATCAAAGTCTGTTTTCTCCAAAATCCACCAGTGTTCACATTTGGGCGTATTGAGTATTCAAGCCAAGTTTGGTCCAGATTCATCATTGCTGGAGTCCACAGTGCTCTCTGGATGTAGGTGAACTACAACTCCAAAACTCAAGGTCAATGCCCACCAAACCAAACATGGGAGTTTTGTGTGCCAAGTTTGGTTCAATTCCATTGTTGGTGTAGTTCAGAATGCTCTTTGATTGTAGCTGAACTATCAATCCCAGCAACTACAACTCCCAAATGACAAAATCAATCCAACCCCACCAGTAATCAAATTTGGGCGTATCAGGTATTTCTGCCAAATTTGGTCCAGTGAATGAAGATACATCCTGCTTATCAGATATTTACATTATTTATTTACGACGTTCATATGCCACCCTTCTCACCCCGAAGGGGACTCAGAGTGGTTTACAAGATATATATACATACAATATATAAAGAGCCCTGGACCCTTGCCCGTCTTGGCTAATTAAATCGGCCAGGGATAGGTTGATTGATTGGTTTGTGTTGGTCATTAATGCATCGTTGAAGCAGGGGATTTTTCCATCTCAATTAAAACAGGCTGTGGTTCGACCACTCCTGAAAAAGACTTCCCTTGACTCCACGGTGCTGAGCAACTACAGATCAATTTCCAACCTTTCTTTTTTGGGCAAGGTTCTAGAGCGGGTGGTCGCCTCTCACCTCCAGGGCTTTCTGGATGACATCAGTTACCTGGACCAGTCACAATCTGGCTTCAGGCCTGGCCATGGCACCGAGACGGCTTTGGTCGCCTTGGTGGATGACCTCCGCAGGGAGCTGGACAAGGGGGAGTGTGACCCTGCTGGTTCTCTTGGATATTTCAGCGGCTTTCGATACCATCGATCGTGGTATCCTTCTTGGACGACTGTCCGGGATGGGTCTTGGAGGCACGGTACTGTCATGGCTCCAGTCCTTGGAGGGTCGTTCCCAGATGGTGAAGCTGGGAGACGCCTGCTCGGACCCCTGGCCTTTGACCTGTGGGGTCCCGCAAGGCTCCATTCTGTCTCCCATGCTTTTTAACATCTACATGAAACCGCTGGGAGAGGTCATCCGGAGTTTTGGAGTTGGGTGCCATCTCTTCGCAGATGACACGCAACTCTGCTACTCTTTTCCACCGAACTCCAAGGAAGCCTCTCGGGTGCTGGACGAGTGCCTGGCCGCTGTGGCTGGCTGGATGAGGATGAACAAGCTGAAGATTAATCCTGACAAGACAGAGGTCGTCCTGGTCGATCATAAACCAGATCGAGGTACAGGGTGGCAACCTGTGCTGGATGGGGTTACACATGAAACCGCTGGGAGAGGTCATCCAGAGTTTTGGAGTTGGGTGCCATCTTGTTACACTCCCCCTGAAGTCACAGGTCCGCAGTTTGGGTGTCCTCCTGGACTCATCACTTAAGCTTGAAGCTCAGGCGTCGGCGGTGGCCGGGGGGCCTTTGCACAATTGAGACTCGTGCGCCAACTGCGACCGTACCTCGTGAAGGTGGATCTGGCCAGGGTGGTCCATGCCTTAGTCACCTCCAGATTGGACTACTGTAATGCACTCTACATGGGGCTGCCCTTGAAAACGGCCCGGAAATTTCAGTTGGTTCAGCGGGCGGCGGCCAGGTTGTTAACTGGTGCGCCTTACAGGGGGAGGTCAACCCTCCTGTTTAAGGAGTTCCACTGGCTGCCGTTCATTTTCCGGGCCCAATTCAAGGTGCAAGTGCTTACCTACAAAGCCCTAAACGGTTTGGGACCCACCTACCTGCGTGACTGCATTTCCGTATACGAACCCACACGATCTCTTTGTTCATCTGGAGAGGCCCTGCTCACGATCCCACCTGCATCGCAAGCGCGATTGGTGGGAATGAGGGACAGGGCCTTCTCGGTGGTGGCCCCACGACTCTGGAACTCCCTCCCCAAGGACATCAGACAAGCCCCAACATTGGCAGTCTTTAGAAGGAGCTTGAAAACATGGATGTTCCAGTGTGCCTTCCCAGATTAAGGAATCCCAAGCAATATGTCCCAAATGCACTTTACGAGAGAGTTAGAATTGTCTGCACACCCACTTATCCCTAAAATATCCATCCTATTTCACTTGGACATGCCCAGCATTTTTTTAAATTTTAATCATTACGTTTGGCCCTGCCACAGGTTTTTAAATGCGTTGTGATATTTTTGTTATTGTTTGCTTTGCTATGAGTTATTTATTGTTATATTGTTTGTTGTTGTGTTTTTTGTTTCTGATGTATTTGGGCTCGGCCTCTTGTAAGCCGCACCGAGTCCTGCGGGAGATGGTAGCGGGGTATAAATAAAGGTTTGTTATTATTATTATTATTATTATTATTATTATTATTATTATTATTGTACAATATCAGTATTAAATATTACTAAATTGTATTATACCATTATCTATATATATAAAAATGCTCTGTACATAATGAGTACCTTAAAAACAAAAGAACCAATGAACGAAATCACACCAAATTTGGCAACAAAATGTCTCACAACACAAGGAGTGACCATCACTCAAAAAATTATGATTTTCTCATTTGGGAGTTGTAGTTGCTGGGATTTATAGTTCACCTACAATCAAAGAGCATTCTGAACTCCATCAACGATGGAACTGAACCAAACTTGGCACACAGAACTCCCATGACCAACAGAAGGGTTTGGTGGGCATTGACCTTGAGTTTGGGAGTTGTAGTTCACCTACATCCACAGAGCACTGTGGACACAAACAAGGATAGATCTGCACCAAAAATGGCACGAATACTAAATACACCCACGTGTGAACACTGGTGGAGTTTGGGGGAAATAGACCTTGACATTTGGGAGTTGTAGTCACTGGGATTCACAGTTCACCTACAATCAAAGAGCATTAAGAAACCCCACGAACAACAGACTCGGGGCAAACTTCCCACATAGAACCCCCATACTTAAGACCATCCAGTCCAACTCCCTTCATCAGGGCAAGAAAATGTAATCAAAGCCCTCCTGACAAAGAGCCATCCAGCCATAGATATAGATAGATAGATGGATGAATGGATGGATGGATAGATAGATAGATAGATAGATAGATAGATAGATAGATAGATAGATAGATAGATAGATAGATAGATAGATAGATAGATAGATAGAGAGTTGTAGTTGCTGGGATTTATAGTTCACCTACAATCAAATAGCATGATAGACTTGAACCAACCGGGGCATACAGGACTCCCATGACCAACAGAAAACACTAGAAGGGTTTGGTGAGCATTGACCTTTAGTTTGGGAGTTGTAGTTCACCTACACCCAGAGACTACTATGGACTCAAACATGGATGGATCTCGACCAAACTTGGCACGAATATTCGATATGCCCAAATATGAACACAGATGGAGATTAGGGGAATAGACCTTGACATTTGGGAGTTGTAGTTACTGGGATTTATAGTTCACCTATAATCAAAGAGTGTTCTGAACCCCACCAACGACAGAATTGGGCCAAACTTCCCACACAGAATCCCCATAACTAACAGAAAATACTCAAGGCCATCCAGTCCAACTCCCTTCACCAGGGCAAGAAGAAGTAATCAAAGCCCTCCTGACAAAGAGCCATCCAGCCATAAATATAGATAGATATATATGATTCACACACACACACACAGATATAGTATCATAGATTTGAATGGGACCCCTGAAGAAGGACAATGATATATTGCATGTTCCAGAGTAGGCAAATCAGACACTCTCCACATCAACACTGACAAAGAAGCAGCAAGAAGTACTGTTTACCCGCAAAAATAAAGAAATTACATATATTAGAAACCAACACTTCCTCATTACTTTATTTTCCAGATCAACAGACTGGGCCACAGCAACGCATGGCAGGGGACAGCTAGTATTGTAATATTATTAGTAAAATTACATGTAATATAAATATATATAATTATAATATCAGTAGAAAAATTGCAGTTATGAAGTAGCAACGAAAATAAGTTTATGGTTGGGGGTCACCACAACATGAGGAACTGTATTAAG